TAATTATCCTCCAATTCTCCTCCTAATGCCACGTACAAGTCCTTAAAAGAGAAAAAAAACCAAACTTTTCCCACCTTAGAAGAAATGCTACGGCATTTGGGAACAATGATACATTACATACGGCTTTTTATTTGTTAATTGTGATTAATTGCTAATTAATCACAATTAAATGCTTAATTAAATAATTAAGCATAATACTTAATTACCAAAATTATTTCGAACGTAAACGGAACGTCGAAAATAATTTCGGATAATTTCGACTGAAAATAATTTATTCCGAAAATAATACTCGAAAATATTATTATATCAGAATTAAAAACATGATTGATACTGATAAACTGACGGGATATTACAATCCTCCCTCCTTAAAAAATTTTCGTCCTCGGAAATTCAAAACATAACTAAATATACATGAACTATGTACATAGAACAAGAAAATATGTACATCAAAACTGAAAATCTGGAAAACGAGCGCGAATATCGGACTCCGCCTCCCAAGTAGCTCCGTGGCGATCCCACTGAATACGCACGAGGGGAACATCTCGCTTCTGGAGCCGACGAACCTGACGGTCTAGTACAGCTACCGGTCACTCCTCGTACGAAAGATCTGGCTGAACCTGAATATCTGAATGAGGAATGACATGATCGGGGTCGCACACGTATTTACGCAAGATAGATGCGTGAAAAACATTATGAATGCCTGATAGCTCGGGAGGTAGGGCTAATCGATACGCGATCTCGCCTACTCGTTCGAGAACCTCGAACGGGCCAATGAATCGAGGGTGCAGCTTCCCTCTCTTTCCGAATCGAACGACTCCGTGAATCGGACGAACTCTGAGAAAAGTTGGCTCTCCAACCTCGAACTGCATATCTCGTCGATGATGATCGGCTGAAGATTTCTGTTGACTCTGAGCTGTCTTGAGTCTCTGCCAGATCAACTCGACCTGATCTACTGTCTCCTCGATCAACTTGGGATCGAGTACTCGTCGCTCTCTGACGTCGTCCCAATAAAGAGGGGAACGACACTTGCGACCGTAAAGTGCCTCGTAAGGAGCCATCTGAATAGAAGAATGATAGCTGTTGTTATACGCGAACTCTGCGTACAGCAACAACGACTCCCACTTAGCACCCCTGTCAACAACCAAAGCACGAAGCATATCCTCAAGCGTCTAAATGGTCCGCTCTGACTGGCCGTCTGTCTCCGGATGGTATGCTGAACTGAACTCTAGCTTCGTGCCCATCGCCTCATGTAAACTGTGCCAGAATCTGCTGACGAATCTAGGGTCTCTGTCTGATACGATAGTAACGGGCACTCCGTGGATTCGAATGATCCCACAGGTATAAATTTCAGCCAACTTACCCAAAGACATCTTCATCGAAACGGGTAAGAAATGAGCGACCTTAGTCAGTCTGTCAACCACGACCCAGATAGCATTGTGATGTTCAGACGACCTCGGTAATCCCGTAACGAAATCCATCGTGACTTCCTCCCACTTCCACCTCGGAATCGGTAGTGGTTGCAGGAGGCCGATCGGACTCTGATGTTCGGCTTTGACTTGCTGACAGGTAAAACATCTCCTGACGAACTCGGCGACGTCTTTCTTCATTCCTCGCCACCAGAATGACCCTTTCAGATCGTGATACATCTTCGTGCTCCCGGGATGTGCTAGATAGGGTACGGTATGAGCCTCTGATAAAATCTCCTTCCGCAACGCCTCGACTTTCGGGACCACGATCCTGCCTCTGAACTCTAGGGCACCATCGGCACCTAGCTGAAAACCCTCGACGCCTCCGGGGCGAACCTTGGCATCCATGACCCGAATGAACTCGTCAGAAGCCTGCTCTCACCGGATTCTCTCTCTCAGCGTCGGCTGAAGCTGCATGGCACTGACACTGGCACTGACACTCCCCGAAACGGCTGTGGGAAGTGCATCGATCGCCTGAAGGTGCATCCGGGCAAACTCCTGAATCAATGGACTCTGCTGAGTAACGACGTACGTCAAGTCACCCCTCACCTTTCGGCTTAGGGCATCCGCAACGACGTTCGCCTTTCCCGGATGATACTGAATCGAGCAATCGTAATCCTTGACGAGCTCGAGCCAACAACGCTGTCTCATGTTGAGCTCCTTCTGAGTAAAAATATACTGCAAGCTCTTATGATCTGTGAAAATCTCACAATGACCGCCGTAAAGATAATGTCGCCAAATCTTGAGAGCATGAACGACTGCTGCTAACTCCAAGTCGTGCGTCGGATAGTTCTGCTCATGCGGCTTAAGCTGACGTGAAGCATACGCGACGACCTGGCCATCCTGCATAAGGACGCATCCCAAGCCCTGTCTCGAAGCATCGCTAAAGATGGTGAAACTCCGAGAAGGATCGGGAATAGTCAACACCGGTGCTGAAGTTAATCTCCTCTTGAGCTCTTGAAAGCTCGCCTCACAACGATCAGTCCACTCGAACCTCACAGACTTCCTCGTCAGCTGGGATAGAGGGAGGGCAATCTTGTAAAAGCCCTCGATAAACCTGCGATAGTAACCAGCTAGACCGAGAAAACTGCAAACCTCGAACGGACTCCTCGGTGTCGACCAGTTCTGAACAGCTGAGACCTTGGAAGGATCCACCTCGATACCTGCCTGAGTAATCACATGACCCAGAAAGGCTACTCGCTGGAGCCAGAACTCGCATTTGAAGAATTTTGCAAACAACTTTTTTCGTCTAAGGGTTTTGAGAACCACCCTCAGATGTTCCTCGTGCTCCTTCTGGCTCTTCGAGTAGATGAGAATATCGTCAATAAAGACAATAACAAAATGATCGAGGTAGGGATGGAAGATACGGTTCATCAGGTCCATGAAAACTGCTGGAGCATTGCTGAGACCGAATGGCATGACGACAAACTCGTAATGGCCGTAACGAGTCCTGAAAGCGGTCTTAGCGATATCTGACTCCTTAATCTTCAGCTGGTGGTAGCCTGATCGTAAATTAATCTTTGAGAGCACACAGGCTCCCCTCAACTGATCAAATAAGTCGTCGATCCTGGGAAGCGGATACTTGTTCTTGATCGTCAATTGGTTAAGATCCTGGTAGTCGATACACATGCGCATGGATCCGTCCTTCTTCTTGACAAAGAGAACGGGTGCTCCCCAAGGTGACACGCTCGGTCGGATGAAACTGAGTCGTAGTAACTCCTGAATCTGCGCCTTAAGCTCCTGCAACTCCTTCGGCGCCATACGATATGAGGCTTTTGATACTGGACCGGCTCCTGGAATGAGATCGATAGAGAACTCCACCTGCCGGTTAGGCGGTCCTCCTAGAAGCTCGTCTGGGAACACGTCCACAAACTCACGAACAACTGGGACGTCGTGAGGTGATCGTGCCTTTTGAGAATCATCGACAAGGCTCACCAGATAACCCTGGCAGTTGCCTCGTCGCAGCAACTTAGTGGCTTTCGCCATCGAAACAACATGAGGCAATGAACGATTCCTGGACCCAAAGAAAGTGATCGAGTCGTCTCCCGGAAGATAAAGAGTAATCTCCCGGTCATGACATCTGATATCTGCATGATAAAAGGATAGCCAATCCATTCCGAGAATAAGGTCGAAGTCCCTCATCTCGAGAACAAACGCGTCGGTAGACAATGAACGCCCACCGATGGAAAGGCTGAGATCTGAAGCCTTAGCTGAAGTCACTATCTTTCGTCCCAAGGCTAAACTCACCTCGAGAGGATCGACAGCGGTAACGACATGAATTCCAATGGCATCAAGACATCGTCGTGAAATGAAAGAATGTGTCGCTCCAGTATCGAATAAAGCAAACACATGGACATTATTAAGCACAACCATCCCTGACATAGTACCTGGCTGTTGCTCGGCCTCTGCCTGATCAACTGCGTAAACTCGGGCCTACTGTCTGCCCCTCTGCTGCTGCTGCTGAGGCGGCCTCTGAGCCTGCTGACGGGGCTGCTGCTGCTGCGGTGGCTGCTGAGGCTGCTGGAGCTGCTATGCCTTCTTCGAACAACAGTTAGCAAAGTGTTCGTGCTCGTGACAGTAGTAGCATACATCCTGACCAAAGCGACACTCGCCTCGGTGAAGTCGTCCGCATGTCGGGCACTGTGGAATCTGCTGTAGCCTCCGCCGGGTCCTCTTGTCCATCGGGGCACCTTTCCCTTTCCTCTTGTTATTCTTCAGTGGCTGGGCAGCTGGTAGGGCTGGTGGCAATAGTGGAGCTGAAGATAACTGAGCAGGGGTGGATGGCTGAGAACGATCACGGACGGCCTCCCTCCTGATGCTGGCGTCCACCTCTTGGGCAATCAAAACTGCACGAGCGTACGTCTGTGTCCCGTGGCCTAGGATGTTATGACGGACTGCTGGGTAAAGTCCGTCAATGAAGCACTGCGCTCTCTGGGCCTCCGTGCGAACCAGGTCCAGAACAAAGGCTGCAAGTCTAGTAAACTCCCTCTCATACTCGTCAACAGTACCAGTACCCTGCTGGAGCGATAGAAACTGACGCTCCATCTCTGCTCTGTAGTAGGTGGGGTAGTACTTCTCGCGGATCAGCTCCTTGAGCATATCCCACGTACATCCCGCCTTCTCGCCGGGACGCATGCTCCAGTAGGCATTCCACCAGAGCCGGGCATCACCGGTTAGCTGAAGCTGAGCGCAGATTACGCGATATCTATCTGGACAATCCATGACCTCGAAGATAAACTCAAGGCCTTGAATCCACTCGTCCACGATACGGGGATCTCCCTACCCGGAGAATTTCTCAGCATGATAGTCGCGGAACTGTGCGACTACTGTGGCCTGAGTAGGAGCCGGGTGATCGGGTTCCCTACGGGGCAGCATCTGAACACTGAGAAAGTTCAACATTATTAAACACGTGATGATATTCTGACTGATTACTAAGGCACACAAATCTCTTGACGAGTTGCCAAAAATGGCCGATAATCACTGACATGAATCCTGAGGAACTCTAGAGTCATATCGAAAGATACTAAATTATAGAGCATATCTGAATGTCCTGAATTCTAAAGTCTGAATCTGATTCGAGCATCTTAACTAAGTCCTGATAAATAATTTCTGAGCATAGACAAAGTAATATGTTTATAACTGAAAACTAAATCAGCACTTACCTGTAGTCGGAGAGGCGTGAGCATGACGGTTTAGGTTTTTCTGAAAATTACTAACTGAAAAACTTTTAAGAGACGCAGAAACGTGCTCTGATACCAATTGTAACACCCCGACTTTTTTTTTACTGAGATCAGAGTACGCGTTTTTCGCAATTTGTCTGAATAAATAAATAAAATAATTATTTTGAGAAAACTGATTCGGAGTGCTACCCTGAAAACTTGACTTTTCTGAAAGCCGTTAAATTTTAAACTGATAATAAAACGGTTATAATATATTAACCCACTAAAGTCGGATCAAAAACTGATTAAAAATACTGAAAGTTTAGCGGAATAATAGCGTGGTCAAAACATATATACATATACACAAATATCCTGAACTGCCCGCCAGCTCACTCCTCGTTCCCGACCCTGCGACCTGAAAAACATGAAATGCGTGGGGGCGTGAGCACTAAGGCACTGTTCTCCGCAGAAACTCATACTAATGTAAACATTGAAAATAATAACAATATCATGATCC